CAGCTGTCAGCTAGGGACGTGACGTTTATGCCGATAATCTAGAGTTGCGCCAATTCTATAGCACGGTACTAATTTTATTCCTAACAGTACAATAACGTAAATGAAACAAACAGACACACAAAAAATCTTCAATACTATAAATTCAATAATAAAAATTTTATAAAAATTACCTAACATATAAGAATAGTAAAAAATATAGAATATCTTACTCAGTGATAAATTAGCTTTTTAATGGTGAAAGAATTTTTAAAATCGGCTCTATAGTTTTTGAGTTATTTCAATACATTGAAAAATACAAATCTTTCCTCTGTATAATATTTTCCATACTAATATTATAAAAAGGAAGAAAAATATTTTTGTAAATCCTGAAATAACTCAAAAACTATAAGACCGATTTTTAAAATTCTATACTAGTCATTCATTCATTAATTCACTAGTTATTCTAGTTATTTTTGTTTTTTTTTAATTCTTCGCGCACGGAGTCGCGGGCAAAACCTAGTTTGTAAAATTAGTAAGTAAAATGCATTTAAACATACCCTATCCAAGCTTCATTAAGATAATTCTTGACCATTTCTTCCTGCACCGGTGCCCGAGCTGCTAGAACTCTGCAGCATAAAACCTCACACGTCGACTGCCTTCTTAATAATCCTTCTTCTGGATTACTCTGACTTCCACTCTTCCCCGTCAACTTCGCCATAGAACCGAAGTTCTTCTTTAACTTGCTAGACATAGACCTACCGATGCTACCAAATTGCTTAGCAACAGAATTCAATTGCTTAGAACTTTTAGTGGATAACGCATCTAATGATCTTCTTAGTTCTTCTGGAGGCTGATTCTGTGAGATACATTCCACTCGTTCTAGATCTAAGTAAGCGGAGAGCATGGCGGAGCGCTGGTACTCGTCTGGTAGAAGATTGTTTATGGTCTTCTGATCAGGTTCGGTATCCCAACGGAAATCTTCACCAGGGTCCACGTTGAAGCTAAAAACAGATAATTATTATTAAATAATTAAAATTCAAACATATTATTTAATATTAAAAGGCACTGAGGTAATCTTGCTGCTATTAGATTGTAGTTTTGTCCCTTTCCCGTATGAAGGATTTTTTTTATATAACATAAGGTGGCAAACGAGCTAGCGACCACCTGAAACCGCCAAAATAGCGAAGCAACCGCTGCCCATAGACATCCGCAATTTCAGATGCGTTGCCTACCCTTATACGACGGAGGAGGAGACGCACATAAAGAGGATATTTCCCCTTCCTACGCATCTCCTCCACCGTCAAATCCACTTCCTCTTCCCAACCTCTCCTTATAAGAAAAGGGTGGTAAAGAGAAAGGGACTTAAATTAGGCCTCCGGCACCACACTCATCAGACGAAACACGGAATTGCTTCCACTTCAAGGCTATCTTCTGTGTGGTCGTGGTATTACTGGGGGCGTTCCGGCTTTGCACTGCTAATTAATTAGAGTGAAAATATATAGTCTAAAGCGTGTCGTAAGAGTAGGGCTTTTTATTAAAAAAATAATAATTCAAAAATGTGCCGTGAGTGCGACATCCAACGCCACGAATTCATTGTATTAATATAGAATATCTATACTTATCTATCTTAATAATCTATTTTAGTATAGAATATCTATACAAATATAATAAAGCGTAAACACACACTACTTTGTGGCGTAGAATATCAGCAATCACAGCATATTTTTGAATAATTCTTTTTTTATTATAAAACTCAACACTTACGATACGCCTTAGGCTATATATTTTCAGGTTATTAAACTTAAGGGGACGTTAGGGAAAGGGAGCTTAAACTACATGCTGCCAACATAATGAAGCAAGGTTACTATGGTAACGGTAATTTTGACATTTGTGATTGAGAATTTGACAAATGAAAAAAATCAAATAAATCTATACTAGTATTATAAACAGGAAATATTCATATTTTTTATCTTTTATATGTATTGAAATAACTCAAAAACTACTGGGCCGATTTTAAAAATTCTTTCACCGTTAGAAAGGTAATTTATCTGTGAGTAATATAGGCTTCATTTTTT